CTGGGCTGGGGCTTGGGGGGGAATTACACTGAGCACCGGTTGTATAACCCCCTTCAGACTGTGCTACAGGCGTAAGGTTGCCAGGTCCCTTGCCAGCCCTCCTGGCAGACAGTGGCTCACTTCCACCTGGTGACCTCCAGGCTGTCATGGCAGGCACTCCGAGCCTGCAGCATGTTCCCCTTGGCCACCTCCTGCTCCTGTGGGCTCAGGTGATGAATCACCATCAGGTAGCGGTAGTTACACACCCGCCACCTCACGTTGTGCTTGGCAAAGCGCGCACTGGATTTCACCCGGATCCCAGCCTTCTCAGCCAAGATGCCCACATAGGCATCTTCCACCGGGATGGGGTGGACATGTTCTGCTGCCCACAGGATCCGCTCAACGGCATCCAGAGAGAGGATGTAGCCGATGCCGCTGGCGTATGGCGGGTATTCGTCTGGGTGGTAGTCTTGCCTGGAGACGTACCATTTGCTGGAAGGCTCTCTGATGACCTGCCGCTTCTCCCGGGAGAAGAGGGATCCTGCATACAGGCCCGTCTTAATAGTGTTGTGCTCCAGCAGGAACTCCGGCAGCCGGTCTGTGTTGACGAAGCAGTCGTCATCCGTCTTTAGAATGTAGCTGGGCCGGCACCGCTCGGCCACCCACTTAAACCCATGCATGACCTTCAGGGTGAGGTTCCGATAGGTGTCCTGATAATTCCCAATCAGGATGTCCCCAAACTCCTGCTGCTCTCTCTGGATGCCCTGGGCTACTCCAACGTCTGCAGACTGGCCGACTAAGAACACGGACTGCCATTGGTTTGCTGTCTGTCCCTCGTGGGCAGCCCAGGTTCTCCTGATCACTTGCCTGGGCTCTGAATTCCCTGGGGCTGAAGTTACGAGGATCAGGAGCAGCTGCTCAGGCTCACAGTGAGGATCTGTGTGAGAGTTGATGAACAGAGATGGGAAGTCCACGCCCCTCCGGGCAGATTCGATGGCCCCAAAGCGAGACCTTCTGGGCAGCTTCCCTTGGAAGATGGGGAAGCGACTGGAAAGCTGCCATCTCTTCTGGACATCAGCTGTCATGACCAGCAGGCACCAGAGCAGGATGAGTGAGAGAAGGCCGCTGACACAGATCAGCTCTTTTAAGCCCCGTGGATGCATCAGTGCCATGGGAGAAGGAAACAACAGGCATCGTAAGCACGACAGCTCCAACAATTATACCAACCCTGCCTGGCTAGGGAGAGAAGACAAGGCAGAGAGGGAATTCCTCAGCACCATGCATCCCTCCTGCCCCACTGCCTGTCAGCTGCAGGACACATACGGCGAGCTTGCGCAGGAGAGCCAGGGAAGCACATGGAAGAGGCTTTACTTAGCAGGGTTACTGGCTGTCTCATGCATGTGCTGCACCGGAGGGTAGGTGTGGTGGAAAGGTCATCTGGAACATGCACGGGCAAAGCAGTCAGAAAGGACACTGTGACCCGGCTACTGCAGGAGGGCAGGACACACAGCTCACACCAAGTCTGGATCATTGCTGTTCAGTGAGTATGGGCTCCTTTCATGCTGGGCTGCAGAGCCTGATCTGACAGGAGCATCCAAACCCAGCCCCCACTGTAATTCTTGGGCCATGAATAGTTCTGAGCGGATTCAGTGCAAGTCAAATGAATGGTATATGGAGTGCAGCTGATGGTCTCCCCCTGGGCTGGGACTAGGGGGCTTTGAAACGCTGCAGGTCCTGGCAGAATCTCAGGAGCTCCAGTTACTCCTTGCAGTGTCTTGTTCTGGGCTTTGTCCCACTGCACTCTGGCTTTGCTTCCTGAGAGACAGAGAGAAGAAATCGAACTCCTGAGATTGGAGACCTTGCGTTCCCAAGCAGAAGAGCCTGCATCTTCAGGCCAATAGTTACTACAGGCCCCAGATACTATAATGGACGAGAGATTCTCCTGCCCTAGCCAGAGTGAGATCAGAAGTGGGAGAATTCAGCCAGACACTCCAAGGGGTCCTATGTGTTCTCTTCCCCCTCACCACAGCTCTTCTCAGAGTTCTCTGGGTAACTGTAGTAATAAATAAGTAATCACCCATTCCCTCCTTCTGTCTGAGGAGCTCAAAGCACTTTACTAACTCTAACCATCATGTTCCTTTGGTACGAGGGACAGGATCATCACTCTGACTTTACAAATGGGGAAACTGAGGCACTGAGTGAGGCCGGGACTGACCTGAGCTCACACAGGGAATCTGTTCCATTAGCCGTTTCTGTGCTTTTAAGAACAGGGAATAGAAAGTGGCTGTCTCCCAGTCCTGAGTTTTAGTCACCAGCCCAAACAAGGGGCTTGTCACTTGCAAATGGTGCACGAGGCCCATTGTGACAGGATGTCAGAGAAGGTCAAGACCAGGAATGTGGAGTCCAGTTGTTTTATGAGAAAGGGATCCTGAGCTCAGTCAGATGGGAAGGGAAGGAACCATTCCAGCTCCAGGCGCTGTCTTGCCAAAGCCACAATGGGTTCTCCCTCCTCCCCCTCCAGCATGGCTGTTTGGGTGGGACAGTGCAACCACATGGAGCCTGCACTGCTGTTGGGAGGTCTGGCCTGATTGCTGTCTGGGCTCCTGCGTGGCTGCCCATATTGCCCCTTACACCGGGGAGGCGTTCCCAGTAAACATGCACAAAACCACCTCATTGCCTCCTGAAAACGCCCCTTTGCCAGGGAAACGCTTGGCAATGATTAGGCTACTGCTGTAGAGAGCCCACAGCCTGTCATGCTCACCAGTACCATCTGTTTCGTTATGCTCCCGTCTCTGCCTGCATTCATCTCTTGTCGCTTGTCGTATTCCTTAGACTGTGAGCTCTTTGGGGCATGGACCTTCTTTCTGCTCTGTCTCTACAGTGCCTAGCACCAGGGGGTCCTGCTCCAACACTAGGGCTCTCCCACCCACTGAGCGGTTCTGTTGCTCTTCTCTGAGCTCCCCAGAGGGAAGAATTTCTCTGGTATTAAGGTGGGCAAAGTGGAAAGCAACGGTCCATGGGTGGTCATGCGAGAGCCACATTCAGAGGCAGCATCAGTTCTATGGGGATGCCTTAGTGGCCCAGAGATTCGGGGCAGTCACATCAGATTGGGAACACCTGTCTCATTTCCTACCTACTCTCACTGCCGGGTTCTCTCAGCCATTCCGGTGGCCCAGGCTTCTCCCACCCCCTGCCGAGTTGCTGAGATTATCTTCCCCTGGATGGCTCCCCGGAGCCCTGACTCCCCTGCCCTCCCTCCCACTCACCTGTTCGCTCTCCTCCGCATCACGGGTGTTACAGGAAATGGCTTTACAGGTGATGCCCCCCCAGACTTGCCCCATGCCCCCCTCTGGGCTCAGCGCTGCGCCCCAGCACCTGTCTGTTGGGGGGCTGCAGCAGAGTCACTGCAGGGAGCCCTCCCGGCCCTGCCCTGCGGCTAACTACTGGGGCTGCTGCCTCAGGCCCTGGGCTTGGCGAGACTGTCACAGGCTGGGTGCAAGGGAGGAGTATCCCCAGCACCGCTGCCCCCAGCCCAGCCCCTGCTTGGCTCTTTGCAGCAACCCTGACCCCCCACCATCTTCTTAGTCCTCCCCCACAGCATCCCCCCTCGGCCCCAGCACAAACACACCTGGCCCAGC